ATTTGACTCGAATTAACTTCGAGTTGTAATTTCATAAACTCGACTCAAAAAAATTTAAAGTTCAAACGAGTTGTAAAATACAACTTGAATAGTAACTCGAAGAATTTGAAATTTTTAGTAATTAGTGGATTTATTTTTAATTTGAGTTGAGTTCCTCGACTCTGTATCATAAATGTATATCACATATGAAAAAAATATGAAGAAATATACATGTATTGTATATGGTTATAAAAAAAATTTAAATTTGAATCAAATAATGTCATAGTATTATAAATATTTATAATTAAATTTAAATAGAAACTCGAAAATTAGACTCTACTCGAATTTTATAAACTCGGCTCGATTCGAAAAAATTTCAAGTCAACTTCGAGTTGTAAAATAGGACTCGTCAACTTGAATAACTTGAAAATATTTTACTCGACTCGACTCGACTCAATCGAACGCTCATCCCTATGCTCGAGAGGTTATATAAGGATTGTCACTGCATGTGTCAGTCGTAAAGATATAATGACTAATTGTAAGTTAAAAACCTTATAAAATAAATAAATATGATCATATGACGGTAAATTTTGTTTTAATAAGTTATGTGGACTTCTCAAAAGTAATTGTAATTTTCCGAGATAGGATAAGTTTGTATTTTCTCATAGCAACAAGATTGATTGCTATAATGTGAAACTTGGAAAAAGGGCAAGGAGATTAGGTAAATTGTCACTAACCACACAATATTTTAAATTCCAAATTGACATTAAATCAATCAAATTACATTATTTTATTTGTTTTGATAAAAGAAAATTCAAATCTAACTCTAATATCTTATAGTCAGGTTCACGGACCAACCATATTCATACACTTGTAATTATTCAAACATTTAATCTAAATCGCTATTTATCATTACTTTTATTAATATGGAATAAGTAAAAGACAATATGTGTTCAAAAAAAACTTTAGCCTTTTGACATTGAACGTTCACACCTCTGATATCTATAGTGCTACAACACACAGATCTTTAAGAAATAACAATAATTCTTACATAGAGTATAACTTTAAAGTACTAAGACACTTGTGGGCTGGATTAGATTGTATGTACTCATCTTCTACTCTTTTAAATTTATTTTTAAAAACAATATTAGATTGTGTGTACCATAAAGTTCCTCTACAGCTAGGGTCTACATTTGAAAGGAAAATATTTTAATATCTAAGGACAATTTTGAGATTAGATAGTTCACAAAATTTATTGACCACCTTATCACTTCACTCCGCAGATATTAGTTTGTTTTTGTTGCTTGTTTTACGTTTGTCTCCAAGCTACTCATCCCCACAATGGAATGGACAAGAACAGTTCTTGCAATTGCTGCACTTGTCTTCTTCTTCTTTCAAGCCAAAACAAGGTCTAAAAACAAGAGATTGCCACCTGGTCCGAGAGGGCTTCCGATTCTCGGAAACCTTTTGACGATGGGGACCAAACCACACCGAACTCTTCAACGATTAGCCCTCCACTATGGCCCCATCATGCACTTACGCCTCGGGCTGATGCCCGTAATCGTCGTCTCGTCCCCGGAAGCCGCCGAGCTGTTCCTCAAGACGCATGACCTAGTTTTCGCTAGCAGGCCGCCTCTAGAGGCGTCCAAGTATATTAGTTACAATCAACAGAACTTGGTCTTCGCCCCATACGGCTCGTACTGGCGCAACATGCGCAAGATGTGCACCTTGGAATTACTTAGTAACCACAAGATTAGTTCGTTCAGGTCCATGAGGAAACAAGAAGCCGATCTCCTGGTTCATCGGATTCGAGTGGCTGCTGCTGCTTGTGTTGCTGTTGATCTCAGTTCCATGATCACATCTTTTAGTACTGATGTCGCTTGTAGAATGGTCATCGGAAAGAAATATAATCGCGACGATTTCAGCGAAAAAGGATTCGTAGCTACCGTCCGTGAGACTATGCAGATATCATCTGCGTTTAATTTGGCGGATTACATCCCTCAAATTAGGGGACTCGATCTTCAAGGGAAAACAAAGCGCATGAAAGCTATTTCCAAGGATTTCGACGACTTCTTCGAGAAGATATTTGAAGAACATGTTCAATCTAAAGATGAAGACAGAACCAAGGACTTCATTGATGTCATGTTGGGATTCATGGGATCTGAAGAAACAGAGTACCGCGTGGAACGAGACACTATCAAAGCAATCATCTTGGTACTCTTTCATGTCTTGATATATGTCCCTTTTCGAACTCGTCTTTTTTTTCTCTTGATCGGAAATTTTGCCCTGTTTATCGTGATTCTTGCAGGACATGCTTGCAGCTTCAATGGATACATCGGCGGCTACGATCGATTGGACAGTGACGGAACTCATCAGACATCCACATGTGACAAAGAAACTCCAACAGGAACTCGAAGATGTCGTAGGCACGAGTCGGACGGTCGAAGAATCGGACCTGGAGAAATTGGAGTACTTGGGCATGGTTATAAAAGAAAGCTTAAGGCTTCATCCAGTAGCACCATTGATGGTCCATGCAGCTAGGGAAGATTGCACGGTGAACGGCTTTCACATCCCAAAAGACGCTCGCATCTTTATAAACGCATGGGCAATAGGTCGGGACCAAAGGGTTTGGCCTGATGCGGACAAGTTTCGTCCGGAAAGATTCGTCGGAAGCAACATCGATGTTCGAGGACAAAACTTCGAGCTGATACCATTTGGTTCCGGTCGTAGAATCTGCCCTGGAATGCAGTTGGGTCTCACCATCGTTCGGTTTGTGGTGGCACAATTGGTTCATTGCTTCGATTGGAAACTCCCAAACAATATGCAGGCAACTGAGTTGGACATGACGGAGGAGTTCGGCATCGTTTCTCCTAGAGCCGACCATCTTCTAGCCATGCCAGCATGGCGCCTAAATACATGACATGTTAATGTCTTTCTAATATAACTCATTTAGTTCTTGAATTATACTTGTTTTATCATTTGTATATTTTATTTAATCTACCATTCCATCTTTGTTTATCTGGTAAATTACAAATTTCATCACAGAACATTACTATCTTTCCTCTTTTACTCCTATTTTGCGTTAAAATGCTATTTAAAAAAATTCATCAAAATGACGTTTTGCATATATATAATAGCTTATTTTAACGTCATTAACTATTTAACGGTCAAATGCCAAAAAGATCTTGTAATCACCATTTTTTTCAATGATACATACTCCTTTATAACACCTAAATCAAGCCCAACCCAACCAACCCCAAATTTAAAACCTAAACAAAACCCAAATTCAAATCCAAATAGAACCCAGCCTAAAACCCAAACCAACCCCAAATTTAAACGCAAAACAAAACCTAGAGAAGAATCAAATGGACTACTGTGGATATTACCGATTCATCTTTCTTGATTTGATAGAGAGTCATAGACTCATAGTCAATGAGATTGGCCATCGAAGTACTCTGTCTGCATGAGGAAGTAGAGCAGAGAAGAATTAAGGTAAAGTAGTTTCATTGAGCTCATATTCCGTCTCTTGATCATTTTCAACAGGTTATATAGTGATTCATTAAGGCATGTGTTAGTCATTGAGATATAATGGCTATTTGTAGGCTAACACGATAAGTAGATATGATCACATGACAATGAATTTAATTCTAGTAAGTCATGAGACATCTCAAAAGTAGTTGTGGTTTCTCGAGGAATGTTAGATATTTGATAATCTTTTTATGAAGATGTGCTCTCTCTATATCGGAGATTTATAGGTGTTATGGATCCTCTGATGATTGCGAAATACAAAAATAATGTGTAGACGACCTTAGCCAGATACAACACCTTAGTTTAATTTGAATTCGTGAGACGTATTATGGTCGGAAATAAGTGGTGGTCGTTGTGTTGGACCGGAAAGAGGTGGTGGTGGTTGTGTCGAAATTCAGTCTTTGGAGAGGTGACAACCAGTGGTGGATCCAGAAATATTTTTGAGGGTAGACACACATGTATTAATAACATAAAATTTTCATATGAGGTAGCCACAAATAAAATTTCATGGTAAACACACTAAGTAAAATGAACTACTAATATAAGGATGTTCGGATTTCAGGGTGGGCACGTGCACATCTTGACCAAAGCCTACATCCGCCACTGGTGACAACGGCATTATATCAATTGAATGAGGGTTATTGACAACGCACACACATCTTATCGATATAGATTTTTAAACTTGAGATCTTTAGAAAAAATAACACTCTCTTTCGCATCGAAATCCCTCGATGGATTCACTACTATTAACAATTCAAGTGTATACAAATTTTTCAAACTTATAGAACTCATTAAACTACCTTAACGATTAAAAGGAATGTCCTTTTATGCATAATTAAACCCCTATCTTTTACACCTAATTAAATAATTGAATTGAAAAGTTAAATCAATTCATTTTACTTAAAAGTTACATCAATTAACCTAAATTAATAAGTTAATTTAACTTTTAAAAGTTACACCCCCATATTTTATGACTGCTGGGAACCAATCAAGTTGAGAGTCGTAGCCATCGGTACAAGCAGCCACCTGACATGAAAATTAATTAAATTAAGAGACAATTTAATATATTTTATAATATATATATTAGGGATAAATTTGTATTTTCTTGATTGCTATAACGTGAAACTTGGAAAAAGGGCAAGGAGATTAGGTAAATTGTCACTAACCACACAGATTTTAAATTCCAAATTGACATTAAATTAATCAAATTACATTATTTTATATACTTTTTTATTAAAAATATATATTGACTCTCTAAAATTTTATTCTATCCTAAAATTTTATAAATTTAAATTCGCTTTCATGCATGCATACACTTGTAATTATTCAAGCATTTAATCTCAATCGGTATTTACCTTTTCAATTCCACAAGAATATACATAAAAAAATGAAGAACAGTTGGACAGTTTTGAGATTAGATCGTTTACAAAATTTATTGACCACTCTCTGCAGCTTTTAGCATCCATGGAAAATGAGAGATTTTTCCATTGAAATTTGAGCACCTAATCACTTCACTCCACAGATATTAGTTTTTTTTTTTGGTTGCTTGTTTTACGGTTCTTTCTTCAACCTCTAGACCATATGGAGTGGACAAGTACAATTCTTGCAATCGCTGCACTTATCATCTTCTTCTTCCAAGCCTTGACATGGAAAAGAAGGTATAAAAACAAGAGATTACCACCTGGTCCGAGAGGGCTACCGATTCTTGGAAACCTTCTGATGATAGGGACCAAACCGCACCAATATTTTCAACGATTAGCCCTCCAGTATGGCCCCATCATGCACTTACGCCTCGGCTTGATGCCCACAATCGTCGTCTCGTCCCCGGAAGCTGCCGAGCTGTTCCTCAAGACGAATGACCTTGTTTTTGCTAGCAGGCCGCCTCAAGAGGCCTCCAAGTATATTAGTTACAATCAACAGGGCTTGATCTTCGCCCCATACGGCTCGTACTGGCGCATCACGCGCAAGATGTGCACCTTGGAGTTACTTAGTAACCACAAAATTAGTACGTTCAGATCCATGAGGAAACAAGAACTTGATCTTCTAGTCCAACGTATCCGAGAGGCTGCAAATTCTGGTGTTGCTGTTGATCTCACTTCCATGGTGTCATCTTTTAGTACCGATGTCGCCTGTAGAATGATCATCGGAAAGAAATATAATCGCGACGATTTCAGTGAAAAAGGGTTCGAAGCTACAGTCCGAGAGACTATGAAAATATCATCCACCTTCAATTTAGCCGATTACATACCTCAAATTCGGGGACTTGATCTTCAAGGGCTAACAAAGCGCATGAAAGCAATTGCCAAGGATTTCGACGACTTCTTTGAGAAGATACTTGAAGAACATGTTCAATCCGAATATGAAAACAGAACCAAGGACTTCGTTGATGTCATGCTGGGATTCATGGGATCTGAAGATACCGAGTACCGCGTAGAACGAGACACTATCAAAGCAATCATCTTGGTACTATTTTATGTCTCGATATATGTCCCTTTACGAACTCGTCTATCGATCTAAAATTTAGCCCTGTTTATTGCGATTCTTTCAGGACATGCTTGCAGCTTCAATGGATACATCGGCGGCTACGATCGATTGGACAGTGGCGGAACTCATGAGACATCCGCATGTGACAAAGAAACTCCAACAGGAACTCGAAGAAGTGGTAGGCACGAATCGGATGGTCGAAGAATCCGACCTGGAGAAATTGGAGTACTTGGACATGGTCATAAAAGAAAGCTTAAGGCTTCATCCAGTAGCGCTATTGATTGTCCATGCAGCTAGGGAAGATTGCACGGTGAACGGCTTTCACATCCCAAAAGACGCTCGCGTCTTTATAAACGCATGGGCAATAGGTCGGGACCAAAGGGCTTGGACCGATGCGGACAAGTTTCATCCGGAAAGATTCGTCGGAAGCGACATCGATGTTCGAGGACAAAACTTCGAGCTGATACCATTTGGTTCCGGTCGTAGAATCTGCCCTGGAATGCAGTTGGGTCTCACCATCGTTCGGCTTGTGGTGGCACAATTGGTTCATTGCTTCGATTGGAAACTTCCAAACAATATGCAGGTAACTGAGTTGGACATGACGGAGGAGTTCGGCATCGTTTGTCCTAGAGCCGACCATCTTCTAGCCATACCAGCATGGCGCCTAAATACATGACATGTTAATGTCTTTCTAATATAACTCATTTAGTTCTTGAATTATACTTGTTTTATCATTTGTATACTTTATTTGTATACTTTATTTAATTTACCATTCCGTCTTTGTTTACCTGGTAAATTACAAATTTAATCACTGAACTTTACTATGGTTGAAACTAATTAGATATTTGGATAAATTGGAATATTCAAAAGTTTAGAGACCAATTTAGAAGAGGGTTATAGTTTAGGGATGAAATTAGAATATTCAAATTAATTATTCGATTCAATTAATAACCGAATTAACATTTATCAAAAGACAGAGACATGGTTTACCATAAGATAGGAACTCACAAAAGCAATTTTATATATAAGGATTTACATATGAAAGCATAACTTAAAAACATCACAAATCAAAACCTACACTCATAGAGAAATATGAACTCATTATTTTAGCACAACTCATTTGACATTTTTATTATATTCACCACACAACCCAAATCCCTTGTTCAGTTCTTTCTACGACTACAACTCGAAAAAAGTTCAGCAGCCGAGGAGGGAAAACCGGTGTCAGGCAGATCATTGTGGCGGTGGTAAACGGTTGGACTCAATCCCACATGTTCATGTTATATTTGAAAAGTTTGGGAAGAAAGAGATTCGATTAGTATTTGTGATCTGATGAAATCTGCAGATAAATGAATCCAAAATGGGCATAGGTTGCTGAGATTTAGATGAAACGTGAGGAATCTGGGGTCATCTGATTTTAAGACTCGGGTTCTGGTGCTGGAGCGGTGGACTTCAACAGTGGCTGGAGAGCCTTGACGACGATGCTCATGTTTGGACGGAACTCAGCGTCGTATTGCACGCACAGTGCTGCAACAGCTGCTAACTGCATCAACAGAACGTAATCGAGACTGTTAATTGATAGTTCGGGCCGGTGTGGCTGTTATGCGTATTCCGTTGTTTGAACACCTCAAACCCGGAAACATTTTAACTTTTGCAATGTCAAGAAGACACGGGATGATAGAAGTACCTTAGCAATTCCTTTAGGAGGGTACTCTCCCTTCAGTTTTGGATCAACACATTGTTTAACTTTATCTTCACTCAGTCTTGGAGTAGCCTAAATTGAGGAAAAATAAATGTTGAAGAGCTAGTCACATTTAAAGTGAATTGGAAAGACCGACGAAACGAAAATGCACCATCACACTAGATAAAGAGAAGGGAAAAGATTGACAGGAAGAAGAGAAAGCATTAACTCACCCAGGTAACGAGGCTTTGCTGTCCACGCGGCATTGTGTGGTCGACAGGTTTCCTTCCGGTCAAGAGCTCTAGGAGGACAACCCCGAAACTGTACACGTCACTCTTCTGCGTCAACTGACCACCAGTCATTGCATACCTGGAAAAAAATTGAAGCCGTAATTTGTTACATCATACATTAAATCCGCAGCACAGCCGGGATAGTGGTGTATTCATTGGAAGAAAAAAAAACTAGACACTTCCTCGAATTCATGTCTGTAGTTCTAGCAACACAGACAGTGGAGTCCGCATATAGCCCGTCGAACCTTAGATGCATTTTCTATCTAGCATGAAAGAGGCGGAGAAGAATACAGGGAGCATAAATAGTAGCATCATTTGGGAAAATAGTTAAATCAAAAAGTATTTATGCATTATTTCCTAGATATTATCCGAGAATGCAATTAAACGTAACCAACCATATGCAAAAAGCTAATGACTTGTTGGTTCATACATGAAGGAGCTTAGAAAGCATACTCTGGAGCATGATAGCCAAAGGTCTTGACGCCAGACAGAATAGTGATTATCCTGCAGGCGCTCCAACAGATGATTCACAAGAGAAAATTCGCTCAAAAAACCAGAGAAAAAAGTCTCTAGGGTTTAATAAAATATTATAAAATCAAACAAACGCCAAAATCAGTCTACAAGCCGGACTGTTATAGCCAAAAATCGTCTTTATTCGAAATTTTCCAAAAATAGCAAAATCCTGAAAATCACTCTAAATTGAAATTCGAAATAAAATAAGCAATCTCCAAAAAAATCCGGCCTAAATCGGATTTAAATTGACTTCCTAATTGACAATCGAAATATTACCATAAATAGTAAAAAATATCTAAATCTAGTGATTCGGAGGGAAAAACGGCAGGATTTGAGGTTGAAAAAAAGGCCACATGGAGCGTGGAGCGTTACGCTCCATATGGAGAGCGTGCGCGTCGAAAAGAGCTTTCTGGATTGGGGTCTTATGCGCGATCCTGACACATGTAGCCAAAGTTATGGTCAAAAGACTGAAACATACTCAAAACGTCCCCAATGAGGAACATGTCACAATCAATTCCCGCCTTTGCGCTGATCTGCCAATTCATGGTATCTCAGCGCCATCAAGGTGCAATCTGACAGCTCAGCATCATCTGTCTCGGATCCCCCTGCATCAGTCACCCCGGGTTGGAAAGAACTCGTCCTCGAGTTCAGAGTAGTGTCATCAGAATCCACAAAACAATGACTCAGGTGCTTCACATTAAAGACATCAGAAGTCTTCAAGTGGCTGGGAAGGCGCAACCTGTAAGCATTATCATTGATCTTCTGCACGACCTCACAAGGTCCAATCTTCCGATCTTTAAGCTTATTATACTCACCAACAGGAAAACGATCACGAGTTAATACAGCCCAAAAAAATCACCAACATCAAAAAGTACCTGACGACGATGATTGTCGACCCGAGTCTTGTACTTGGTATTGCTCTCATGAATGGTCTGTTTCACCTGCTCATGGATGCCCCGAAGATACTTTGCCATCTCATCTGCTTTAGGACTAAAATGACCTATACGTGGAATAGGGGCTAAGTCCAGCACCCCGGATGGGTTCTGACCATAGACAATCTCAAATGGGCTTAAACCTGTGGTTCTGTTTTTTGATCTGTTGTAGGCAAATTCTGCCTGAGGCAATGCCAAATCCCACTGCTTCGGCTTCGTTCCTACCAAACACCTCAAAAGGTTTCCCAGGTTCACCACCTCGGTCTGGCCATCCGTCTGGGGGTGGTAGGCGCTACTGAACTTCAACTGCGTTCCCAGTTTCCCCCACAGGCTCTTCCAGAAATGACTGATGAACTTAGTATCACGATCTGAAGTGATGGATCGAGGAACACCATGTAAACGCACAATCTCCTTGAAATAGAGATGGGCAATCCGGTCAGCATCCATAGTCTTTCTGCAAGCTACAAAATGAGCCATCTTGGAAAACCTGTCAACCACAACAAAGATAGAATCCGAGGCCCTTTGGGTGCGGGGTAAGCCTAGTACAAAATCCATGCTGACATCGAACCAAGGAGCTTCAGGAACAGGTAAGGGAGTGTACAAGCCCGTATTGGTGAGAACTCCCTTAGACCGCTGGCACATATAACAACGGTCCACATAATGGGCCACATCACTAGTCAACTTGGGCCAATAAAAGTCAGAAGAGATAAGGGCCAAGGTCTTATCTCGGCCAAAGTGTCTCTCATTATGGAGTTCACTAATAATTTGCTGCCTCAATGAACAATCTGGAATGCACAACTGTAATCTACGAAACAGATACCCATTATGCAAAACAAAATCATGACGGTGACCCTCAGTTACCTCCTGAAATATCCTTCCAAAGGAAGGATCAGCTGCAAACATATCTGTGAACGTCTCAAAGCCTGCAACTTTAGTACTCATGGTGGTGAGAAGTAAGGTACGACGGCTCAGGGCATCTGCGATGCGGTTCAAACTCCCTGCTTGGTGCCTCAGCGTAAAAGTGAATTCTTGCAAGTATGACACCCACTTGGCATGACGTCTACTCAGCTTGTGTTGGCCATTGATGTACTTCAAGGCCTCATAATCGGTAAACAGAATAAACTCCTTCTGTACTAGGTAGTGACGCCAATGCTTCAGGGACTGAACTATGGCATAGAACTCCAGATCATAAGTGGAATAATTTTTCTTTGATCCCGATAGTTTTTCACTGAAAAAAGCAACCGGACGACCTGCCTGACTCAGAACACCACCAATGCCAACGCCAGATGCATCACAATTTACCTCGAACACTTTGTCAAAATCTGGAAGTGCCAAAACTGGAGCCTCGATCATCTTCTGCTTGACCAGTTGAAAACTGGCCTCTGCCTCCTCAGACCACTGGAAATCACGCCCCTTGAGGCACTCTGTGATAGGGGCGATCAGAGTACTGAAATTTCTAATGAATCGACGGTAAAAAGACGCCAAGCCATGGAAACTTCGGATGTCATGTAAGGTCCTTGGTCTGGGCCACTCCAAGACTGCATCTACCTTTGACTGTTCTGCATGAACACCATCAGTAGACACAACAAAACCAAGAAAAGTCACAGAAGTAGTGAAGAAAGAACACTTCTTTTGATTGACAAACAAGCACTCCATTTTCAGCATCTCAAAAACAGCACGGAGGTGATCGAAGTGTGAAGTCCATGTCGGACTATAAACGAGGATATCATCGAAGTAAACTACAACAAATTTTCCCATAAAAGGCCGTAAGACCTGATGCATAAATCTCATGAACGTACTGGGCGCATTGGATAGCCCGAAAGGCATGACCATCCACTCATACAACCCTTGTGGAGTTTTAAACGTCGTCTTCCACTCATCTCCAGGTCTTATTCTGATTTGGTGGTAACCGCTCTTAAGGTCAATTTTTGAGAAGACCTTAGAACCAGATTGCTGATCCAACATATCATCTAAACGGGGAATTGGAAACCGGTACTTCACTGTAATTATGTTGATTGCTCGACTGTCAACACACATACGCCAAGAACCATCTTTCTTTGGCACTAGTAGAGCAGGGACTGCACATGGGCTCATACTCTCTCGGATATAGCCCCTCTCCAACAACTCTTCCACCTGTCGCTGCAACTCTTCAGCCTCATTGGGACTGAGGCGATATGCTGGTCGATTTGGCAAACTTGACCCAGGAACAAGGTCAATTTGATGTTGAATATCCCTCATAGGTGGTAGCCCAGGAGGAAGATCCTCTGGCATCAAGTTAGACAATTCTGCTAGCAACCGCTGTACCTCTACTGGTAAATCTGCATCCACGTCTACTGCATTGTTCTCGAAGGTAGTAAGGCATAGACCACGTCGCCATGCTCAATCTCATCTAAAAACCTGGACATAGAAAGCAGAGTAGTATTATGGGTTACTGGGGTAGGAATGAGTCCTTCCCGTCGGGGTGCCAACACAATCTTTTTTCCCTTGATGCTAAGGGAATATGTATTCTTCCGTCCATCATGAATGACACTGCGATCATACTGCCAGGGTCGACCCAACAATATATGACACGCATCCATAGACACAACACCACACCATGCATTATCAAAATATTTTCTACCAATTGAAAAAGACACGAGGCATCGCCTATCAACTGTTACCTCACTGCATTTATTTAGCCATGACAGCTTGTATGGCTTAAGATGATGGTCCGTCTTCAACTGTAATTTCTGGACAACCTTCTCGGACACTACATTCTCACAACTACCGGTGTCAATGATCATTTTGCAGACTTTATCTGCAACTGTGCAGGTTGTGTGGAAAATATTGGTTCTCAACCAATCGTCCCCTGAATCACCCTTGGGAGTAAGTAGACTCTTGCGAACGACCAGAGTCTCATGACCATCTCTATACAGCACATCATCAGTCTTATCATCGTCATACACGGGTTCGCCAATCTCCTCAGTCTCGTCTTCCGCGTTTTCCTCAATCAACAAATTTTTGCCCTTTTGACTAGAAGGCTTCATGCAATCAGTCGCCATATGCCCTTGTTTACCACAACGAAAACATCTAATAGTAGGGTTAGAATTACCATGTGGTGGCTGTTGAGCAGGACGGGAATCCTGAGGACGAACTGGTCGACTGTTGTGATAGTTCCTGATCACTGGTCTCCTGTTTTGCTGTTTTTGAACAGCAAGTGCACGCTGGTAAGCTTCCGAAACACTCCACAGTGAATGAAGGCTGAGGACATCTTGTAAGGGCTGGCGTAAACCCCCCAAATACCGCGCCACCATTTGCTCCTCCGTCTCAGATAAATCGTTCCGGGCGACCAATTGGTAAAACTCCTCCGTGTAATCATCGACTGATCGTGCGCCCTGCCTCAACGCATGAAGTCACTGAAACAAGGTTTGCGTGTAGCCGAAGGGAAGGAAATGACCCTTCATCTTCTTCTTCATCTTCTCCCAATCAGTGATCTTGGCCTTACCCTGTCTTTCTCGTGAACGTCGCAATTGTTCCCAACACGCAGATACTCTGCCCTTGAGTTTGATGGCGATCAGTTTCACTTTCACATGATCGGGGACTTCTTTATATTCAAAAATACGCTCCACTTCATTAATCCATTCCACGAATCCCTCGGCCTGTAACGTACCAGAAAACTCAGGGAGATCGACCCGAAAACTGAGGTCTCCATGATGCTCCTCCCGGCCACGGTGCTCCCGGAATAGAGCACGATTGTGATATGGGTTTTCGAAAACGGAATTGGTATCGTGATCAGAGGCCTCACGATCCTCGAAATCCTACGCTGTCAGGCGTTGGGTTAATTCTACGACTTGCCTCTGTAAATCCGCAATCATCACATCCTGAACGTTGCGATCACGGCGTTGGGCTTCCTCATTCGGAACCTGCTCACGACGACCACGACCTCCATCCATTGAAACTGGTGAAATTTCTCAGGAAGATGTTGAAGCTCTGATACCAATTGACGCCAGACAGAATAGTGATTATCCTGCAGGCGCTCCAACAGATGATTCACAAGAGAAAATTCGCCCAAAAAACCAGAGAAAAAAGTCTCTAGGGTTTAATAAAATATTATAAAATCAAACAAACGCCAAAATCAGTCCACAAACCGGACTATTATAGCCAAAAATTGTTTTTATTCGAAATTTGCCAAAAATAGCAAAATCCCGAAAATCACTCTAAATTGAAATTCGAAATAAAATAAACAATCTCCAAAAAAATCTGGCCTAAATCGGATTTAAATTGACTTCCTAATTGACAATCAAAATATTACCATAAATAGTAAAAAATATCTAAATCTAGTGATTCGGAGGGGAAAACGGCAGAATTTGAGGTTGAAAAAAAGGCCACAAGTGGGGAGCGTGCGCGTCGAAAAAAGCTTTCCGGATTGGGGTCTTATACGCGATCCTGACACCTGTAGCCAAAGTTATGGTCAAAAGACTGAAACATACTCAAAACGACCCTAATAAGGAACATGTCACAATCAATTCCCGCCTTTGCGCTGATCTGCCAATTCATGGTATCTCAGCGCCATCAAGGTGCAATCTGACAGCTCAACATCATCTGTCTCGGATCCCCCTGTATCAGGTCCCCAGAACTCGAGTGGAATGTAGACGAGCAGCCATGTCAGGAGACTGGTTTGAGAGGTTAAAATCTGCAATCTTCGCTTTGAAATCATCAAAGAGAAGGATATTGCTAGATCTGATATCTCGGTGTATAACAGAGGGTTGAACCTTGTCGTGCAAGTACTCCAAGCCCCTTGCCGCATCAACCGCAATTGTAAGCTGTTGCATCCAGTCAAGCACAAGACCTGGTTGTGCCCCTTGAACCCCCTTCCTGCCTAGAATCACAAGAAAGAAAGAAGTCAAGCTAATAATGTCTATTTTGTATAACAAGACCATGCCTAAAAAATCTGTCAGGACAAATGCATAAAATGATTTCACAAACCATGTAATACGTCATGTAGTGATCCTATTGTCGCAAACTCGTATGCAAGCACACGGTGATCTCCTTCGACACAGTAACCTTGCAACTCAACGAAATTGTTATGCTTCAATGTAGAAACCCTTGAAACCTAACAAAATAAATCATAAAATTGAAGTTCTAATAAAAGGGGAAGCACAAGACACTTGAACATCATAAATTTATATTATCAGTAAGAATAAAACATTAATCAGAAAAGACCGTTCTGTCAAATTGCCAACACACCTGGGTAAGAAACTCAACATTTGATTCAGTCTCGGAAGAAACATCAAGCTTTTTCACATCCATAACTTTTCCATTTTCCAATTTTGCATAATAAACTCTTCCATAAGAACCCTCACCAATCAAAGCCTTCGATCCAAAATTCGCAATCTTTTCTTTCAATTCGTTCAATGATAATGCAGGCACTTCAATAGGCCTTTGAGTTCTTTTGATACCCTGAAAGCACGTAACATCAGCAGTGACAAATTATTGAAAGAAGCCAAACAGAAAATATGTATGTAGATATATCAAATACATGATCACGTATGAGATCTTTTTTTGGTAAAGAATCTATTGTCGGAGACATTCATGTTTTGAATAATGATATTAGAATATCACACAACATATTTCTTAGGTCTAAAAATTCATGTCAATGTCTTTTCATTTTGGGTACACTAAACTAGGAAGATAACTCAAAATAGTTTTCTTATCTTAGCAAGTGAAACAAAAATCCCACAAAGGTTTACTATTTTCCAAATTTGAATAATAATCGAAATATCTCAGAAGTTATTTTGCTCTCCTGCCTTGCCCAAGTTACATTTCCATTCAGTGGTTTTAGGTAATTTCGTATAAGGTGTTCAGCTTTTCAATTACTTTTGTTGCTGTACTGATATTACATGAGCACTGCAGTGCCAAAAACAATGTTTATGGTGCTCTAAGAAGTTTTATACATGGTCTTTGAATTGCTTATTTGGTTTTGTTCGTAATTTGAGGTTTTTTTTTATAAAAAAAAAATCGTTGTTAGGTGTCTCCGAAAGCTTGTGGCCATACACAAGGCAGGAAGGTGGTTGTTGCGGAAGACGGCTATCGGATAGAGCAAAATCGTAACTGATAATTTGAGAAAATAAAAATGAAGATAAAAGAGATACAAAATTTACGTGGAAAACCCCTAAATAATATAAGGGTAAAAACCACGGGCAACGGTAGAAGAATTTCACTATGAGAAAATAGGAATTACAACTTCTCTCGATCTACCAAGGAGAAAACAATGATAATTCTCTTTTGATAAAAAGGAGAAAACAACTCTCAAGAAACTCTCTAAATTCTCTAGTATTGGAAAAAAGCTAGAATGCTTTGGGATGATTTTGAAGCTAAATGAGCTAAAGTATTTATAGTTTAAACTTGAGGACTAATCTTGTAAATATCCTAAACTTTAAGGACTCAATTTAGTAGTTATGCCTTTATTATTTCAACAATTTGCAGCTACTTTATTGACTCCACAATTCAACTTGCACACTTGCACATTCGGTGCATTAATGCACCGAATAATTTGTTGAAATTTCAATAGTGGTGTCCAGGGAGGAAGCCATTATGAGAATTACGAAAGCAGTTGACGCTCGCAAAGAGATTGGTTCAGACATTGTTATTGTGGCACGAACATATTCTCGTCAAGCACTGTCTTTTGAGGAGTCACTCTGGAGATCAAGGGCATTTGCCGATGCCGGAGCAGATGCCCTTTTTATTGATGCACTAGCTTCTAAAGAAGAGATGAAAGCCTTTTGTGAAGTTTCTCCGTTGGTTCCAAAAATGGTACCGTGTGTTCTTTTGAAACTATACAAAGTAATAAGCTTAATTTGTATATATACATGATTATATACTAAGATAATTGCATGATAAATAGAACGCTGAGGAAACATAACTTTACCCAGAGGTATCCCAGTAGTTTTCTTTTGTTGCTTAAATGTTTAGCATCTCAGTAGGCTTTCCGATACGTATTTCGAGGGTATTTGCCTCTAACATGGGACCAGCCGTATAGAACTGCTCGTATTTATTCTCATGCCAAATTTGCTATGACATACACTTGTCCTTCCCGAATAATTCTCCACCCATCTCCTATGACTGATGCAGCTTTTTCACCCCTGTGTAGGCTAACATGCTTGAAGGTGGGGGGAAAACACCGATACTCTGCTTGAACTCGAAGAAATTGGATATAAACTTATGGCATATCCGCTTTCCTTGATTGGAGTATCTATCCAAGCAATGCAGGTTATGTATCTTCACTTTGTTCATGTGTACAAAAGCTCACTTAATCTTGTGTAATATCCGTGTCTTAACATCTTCGGTACAAAAGTTCATTTGCGTTATGAGAGATGGATGTGTGAAAGCTTTTACGTCGCCTAATGAAAAGCTAAAGCTCCCAACTTTTGTATGATACCCAGAATACAGATGTTAAGTGAGACTTCGTTCTCTCACGATTGAATTGTTAATACAACGTTGCTTCTCAAAGGCCAACCTCTACAAATTTGCAGGATTCACTGACTGCCCTCAAAGGTGGCCGTATTCCGCCTCCAGCAAGCATGCCATCTTTCGAAGAAATCAAGGAAATCTTAGGTTTCAATAAATACTATGAGGAAGAAAAGAGATATGCTACCAGCAACTATCAGCTATATGGAGACAGAGGTGGGTGAGATTTAGTACTCTAAGGTCCAAACTGAACTTAAAACCTTTGTTACTCGGACTCGGTGTGAGTGTCGATTATAGGGTATGTGCTCGACACGGGAGTTTTCAATTTCCCCCCAATTTTTGGAGGGTCAAACCCCTAAAGCCATGTTTGGATATCGAAAAATTTGTATCTGTCCTACCTTCTTTGTTGCTATGAGTTGTATGGCATTGCCAACTCGGACTCTCGAATTAAACCCTAGTCTTTCTTGAGAAGAATGAACTTTTGTTGCCTTGTCTTCCTAATCCTATAATCACGGTTTATGTTCAGTGAGCAGTAATGCATACAGTGTAGAAAGGGTTGGAGATGACTCGGAACAAAGAAGTCAAAGACCTCAAGATCCAGTTGTCGAGGTGATAACTCCTTAGGCATACAGTAACTATCGTCTAGTTGATCATGCAAAACAAAAATTAACGGACATTTCACCGATATAAGATTATCAGTTAGAATAAAAGATTATCAGAGAATAATATTATTAGGAATGTTGTATTTGTGTTTGGTTGGTTTAGTAAGAATATAAGATTACTGTGTTTGGTTAAAGTAATAAAAGATTATTGAAATGTATATTTGACCAAATTATCCTTATTATATATTTATTTTTTAAACAACTTGAATTCTACTATAATATTACTATAATTAATTTAAATATTTTCTTTAAAAAAATTAAATTCATAAAATTTATATAATTTTTAACAAAATTAAAAAGATAAATAGATTTAATAAAATGGTAAAATTTTATTTTAACTTCTGAACTTCATTTAAAATTTTAATTATAGATTTTTTTTTGTAAATCTAAAATAGTTTAAGGATGGATTTTTAATTTAACATTCGTATAATTTTTATTATTCAATGACAGAAGAAGAATATTTTTGGAAAAAAAATTAAGGGCATTTTAGTCTAAAAGCTGGTAATCCAACAATACCTAAGGGAAGTGGGTAATCACATTTCCGGTAATATACCCTAAAAAATTCACTGTTGGTAATAAAAAATTACCGAAAATAGGATTACCGGCCAACCAAACGAAAAAATAAGGATTTCATTCCCCTGATAATATAATATTCCTTGAACCAATCAGGTCCTCTTTGTTCTTTTATCTTCCTAAAATTCATCTTTTTTTTCTTTGGTCTTCATTTTTTTTTTACTTTTTACACTTTCTCTCTATCACCAAGTTTTTCCCTCTCTTTGTAAAAAAAAAAAAGATTTTTCAATTTATTAATCAGTAATAATTTATATTATATAAATTTGGAGTAGTAAATTTTTCTTTTTATGTACACGTGTTTTATCTTTTTATTAAACACAAATTATTGTATTATACAATAAAATATAGGGTAAATTATGTGTTTAGTACATAAACTATTAGTTTTGATCTGTTCTACCTAAACTTTTAATCTTTTAAAATTATACTTAATGTTTAATTTTTATTTTATTTTAATATCCCGTTAAAACTGAATGTTAAGTTTTTTTAAAAAAATTTGAAAGTTTAGGTACTAAAAATTATAGTTTACGCACTAAACATGTTAAGTTTAACGGTTGGATAGTAAAATGAAACAAAAATTAAACATTATGTATGATTTTGAAAAATATGAAAGTTTATGTATTAAAACGGATCAAAACTGATGTTTAGGTACTAAAAGCGTAGTTTACCCTAAATATAAAAAATACAAATAAATTTATAATACTGCTACGTGTTTTTTTATTATATTAAAAAATTACCAATAAAAGGGATTTGGGCTAGTGATCACACTCGAGATTTATGGGCTCAACATAGAATCTCGACTGCAAATTACTGATCGAATAATGATGATGATCTAATTAGAAGCCCAAGCCTGGAAATGTTCATGATTCATCAAACGGATCTCAAACGGCAGCAGTGATTTGCGTCCGAGTTTCAAAATAGGTACAGCGACCAGCTTTGGATTCTTTGCCTAGAGTTACCGGTTTTCAATTTCCCAGTCCTTTTGATTTCTGGGTTTGATTCCTATTTCCGTTTCTGTTGCCTTCAACCAGTTTCTTCTTATATTCTTCATTTTGATTTGTTTTATGATCTGTTTTTTTTTGGGTAAAGAAGGCAATCTTTGTATTTGTTTAACTGTTCATTTGTTGTGCATTTTGATTTGCTCTCTAACATCAATTTGGCATAATTGAAAAGTAATGCATAAATTTGTGACACCATGGTTTTATTTTACTGCAAATAGAGAAATTCCCAAATTCTAAAGCTTCAATTCTCATTTGACCTTATATTTATGTTGTAGATTAATTGAATTTCCACACGTTTTGATCTTATCTCGTCCACGGCTGCGAATATCAAGATGGTGTATGAAATAACTGAGCAACAAAGTAAGCATAATTTTTCCCTGAATAAATTTGAAATTTCTCGTGTAAAGATTGTTGAGTAACATGATTGATTCTCTCATTGATGTTAGTAGCTAATAGTTTGTTTGTATCTTTGTGATTATCATTGTTATTTCTGTCATGGTTTTGTCGCTTGAACCCAGTAATTTTTCTTGTGTAAAATGAAAATATCTAGCTTGAGTTTGTCTTGTAAAGTTTTTTTACTAATATGGTTTATTCTCACATCGATGTTAGTGATTATTGGTTCACTCGTATCGATGTTATTCTGCCATTGCTTGTTTGAACCTAATCCATTTTCGAGAAGCTAGAACTCACTCTCTCTGGCAACTGAAGAAATTCAAGCTTTAGAGATAACACCTACTTGGTATTTTGTTGATTTGCGTCCAATAATAAAAGTCTTTTTGGTTTGCTGTAAGGATTACAAAATTAAAACTCATTTTAATGGTCCGGACGCCATTTTGAAATACAAAGAACTCCAAGGAATTTGCATTTCTTGAGTTGAATTTAATGTACAAAAGTACACTTTATACCTTGGTGAATCCATAAATTATGTGCATAAAAAATAAAATCTCTAAAATAAATACAAGAAACACTAAGATTAGCCAGCTGAATACTATCTCAAATGGCATGCATGATGTTGACAAACCCCATAAGATTTATTTGAAATTCAACTTTTTATATATTCTGTAAATCTTTAGTAAGTTGTTTTTGGAGGGTTCTAACACTATAAATTTTGGCTTTAATTTGCAGAGGTTGGCTTGGGTCTTATTGGTTTCGGTATCTCCTTCACATTTCTTGGTGTAACTCTCTTCTTTGACAGGGGTCTGCTTGCTTTAGGAAATGTAAGGCTCTCTATAGAAACTAATTATCTTTCTTATCCACATTATACGATACAATATGATATTTCATTTATTCCCATATTCTAACTTTCTGACATTTTGCCACCAGATTCTGTGGTTAGCAGGGGTCGTAGTTTTGATCGGTTGGTATTCGACTTTGCAACTTTTCAGGAAAAACTACAAGGTACTAAATACAAAATTGTGTTAGTTCACTTCCATTATGTATAAAGTGGTTTTAATCTCTTGATGTGTTAGTTCATAAGGGGACTTGTTTACCTATGAGTTCTATGTTTGGGGACATGTGAAAATCCATGCCACGTATGTACAATATGCGGTCTTGCTTTTTCGAATCAACCTATATGGCTTTTGTGTTCCCTTAATATAAACGCACTGCTTTTCGGCTCTAATACATTATTTATGCTTGCTTTGTTATATCATAACAATATTTGTAAGAAGTTGCTTTATTTATTTTTATTGAGAAATGTTCCAAGTATGTGGAAAAAATGAAAATATATGGTATTGATGGACACTTACGTATTTTTATCTCTTTCTCGTTTCTTACACAGGGTTCTATTTCTTTTCTTCTGGGGCTCTTTTTCTTATTCGTTCGGTGGCCAATAGTTGGTATAATCTTGGAAATATATGGTTGTCTTGGGCTTTTCGGGTTAGTTTTTTGTTTTGTTCTAAGCTTTGAAAAAGATAACTCGCTTATGTTGCACCTAAACTTTTGTTCCATTTCCTTTAGTGGCTTTTGGCCTTCAGTCAGTGTGTTCCTCATTCACATTCCGGTTGTTGGATGGGTTATACAGTATCCGGTATCGGTACGTTGAGAATTCTTTCTGGTCATCTCATTGTACTTTTTGTTTGCATGACGGCTGGACAAAAATGCATTGCTGTCGGATTTTGTTTGGAAAGCGGGAACTATTCAATGCATGGAAAATCCATCTGGTCCAGTGAACATCTCCAATTTATTTTAAGCTGCCATGAAATTCTTTAATTCATTTTCTTGCTAATCGGAAGAAAACTTAGATGGATCCGTGTTTATGCATGCTCGTACCCGAGTTCAACATCATTTAGTTATCTGATCTGATTTTTTAATGACTGCAGTTCCTCAATTGGTTTGGAAGGGGTTCGAATTGAATACACGAAAATGTACCTGATGCTGTTTCCGTCTAAGGTACTGATTGTTCTATAGTTCACTGTGGGCTTACATTTAGTTTCAGAAGCTTAAGATGCTTGTAAATGGAGACATGGAAAATTTCCCCCTTGGAGGGAACTAGGAATACCTGAATTTTATTCGGATAATTACTCAAAGGGTCCTATGAATTTTCAATTTTAACAATTGATATACATTTCAGTTCTGAATGATCAAAGCTTTTCACTAGTGATTTGTGTGCATTATTTTACGGCTTTCGAGTTCCATTATTGTAGTTCACCCTATTTAGTAATAGCACGACCAGATTGTATCATATATTAATGAATGCAAAAATGCATGATATTAATACGATGGAACACTTTTAATTTTGACCTCCAACTTTACTAATTTAGTCGTTTTAGCCATTAAATTTTTATTACGCTTTGATTCTCGAACTTTTATCTTTTTGTTCGGAACATTAAATGTCATTAAGTTTTAATATCATTTTCTCCCCATCATAAAAAAGTAAGGGTAGAGTACACATTTAGTATCTAAACTATCACTTTTGGTCCTTTTTAGTACTTAAATTTTAGGGGGTTTTTTTTTTGCAAAATCATACCTAATGTTTATTTTTTTGTTTTATTTTAGTACCCCGTCATTAAAAATTTAGGTACTAAATAAAACAAAAATTTAATAGTGGGTACTAAAATGAAACAAAAAGTAAACGTTAGTTATGATTTTGAAAAAAATAAAAGTTTAAGTACTAAAGTGAAATAAAATTGATAGTTTAGATACTAGACATGTAGTTTGCCCACAAAGAAAAAAATGTCAAACTCTAAAAATGAAAAAAAAATCAATATTTTAATAAGAATAAATTGACCATTTTTTATTTACTTTTTAAAATATAACACATTATCTAATTTTTTTTAAATATTAAAATATTTAATTTTCTAAAAAGTCTTAATTCAACCAATATGTTACAAAAAAAAATTTATTACGGAGAAAATTTACATATGTAGTAAAATAAAATGTTATGCTCTCTAAATATTATTTTATACTTTTTTTTAGTGAATGACCTAATTCATAGACATTAAAAATCTTATCCTATTTTGGTCAATGATTGTGCTTTTCATCTATTTTTTTTCATCTTTGTTCATCGGCGACAACATTAATTTTAATATTAATTGGTTATCGTTGGTGTTCTTTATTTTTTTCTTATATCGTATTTTTATTTTATTTTTTTTATTTTTAATAAATTTACTTGTGTTGCACGTTTTCATCTACCTTTATGACACGTTTTCTTATGTTTTTTGACATATTTTTCGGTTATTTGACATTTTTTATTTATATTTTTTCTAAGGGTTGATTTGTCATTATTACGACTGATCAAGATGGCGTTTATTTGATATTTTGTGAATTTCCCTGCTTTAGACCCTCAGATTGGATTTAGATACTCGATTTACGTTTGTGGATAGTTTTTCACGTCGTTCGAGTTTGATTTTTATTTGTTAATGGTCTTTCAGTAGTTTGATCTCCCTTTGTGGTTCGTTTGCTGATGCGATCAAATCTGTTTGTATCTATCTTTATTCAAGTTTCTTAGTTAGATTTAATTTTTCCTTATATGGTCCCCTTATGTGATCTTAAGTTACTAGTTTTGTTTCAATGATTAAAGGAAAGTTTTCTAATTATGTGCTTAATTTACGATTGTGATTGTAAATCTTTATTGTAATTTGGTATATTTTCTATTTTGAATAAAATTAATTATTTGTATAAAAAATATTATTTAATAATCGATTATTAAAAAATATCTTATGATTTTGTAAAAATAAAAATAATTTTATCAATTTGCATAAAAAATTATTTATAAATGAATTATCACAGATAAATTACACATTTAGTACTTAAATTATTAGTTTTGGTCTATTTTATTATATAAACTTTTAATTTTTTAAAACTATACCTAAAATTTAATTTTTGTTTCATTTTAGTACCCGTTCATTAAAAACTTTAGTTTTTGTTTCATTTTAGTATCTCGTTCAAAATTTAAGGTTGAGTTTTGAGAAAATGAAAGTTTAGGTACTAAATGAGTTAAGTTTTTAATGGCATGTACTAATATGAAATAAAAACTGAACATCAGGCATGGCTTTGAAAAAATTGAAAGTTTAGGTATTAAAACATATCAAAATTGATAGTTTAGGTACTACATGCATAGTTTACCCTATGTTAATACATGGTTTGATGGATGCACGTGTGGCTGCTTCCTGGAGTAAATATGGTGGTTAAGTTTAGTTAAACAACCGTAAACCCTGATCATTAAAATACACTTTTCTCCAGCTCTCCAGCTCTCCAGCTCAAGCTTCCGATCTTATTTTTAATTTTAATTTCCCAATCTTCCTATTTTCTCTGTTTCGGAACTCCAAGTTGTCATCTGCTGAAATTCAGATTTACGATTTTTGTAAAAATCATTTGATTAAAAATATAAATGGATCTTCCAAGTCTAGTTGTTGTTCTTCAAGCAGCTCTTAATCCAAATCCAGCCGAACGCAAAGCTGCCGAGCTTAGTCTTAATCAGGTTTTCATTTGATTAGTTTGATGTTGATTCTTTGCTTCCAGATAAAAAGATTGATTACTTCAAAGAAGAATGGATTTTGTTTGGTTTCAGTTTCAGTATACGCCTCAGCATTTGGTGAGACTGTTACAGATCATCGTTGACAATAATTATGATATGGCGGTTCGTCAAGTGGCTTCTATTCATTTCAAGAACTTCATTGCTAGGAATTGGGCTCCTCTTGATCCAAGTATCAAAATTTTTAATCAAATCTCATTGACTTTTTTCCCCCTAAGAAAATACTTCACGATATTTGTGTTTGTGAGTGTGGATATGTATATTCATTTTGTTCTTAACTCAAGTTCCTCTATGCATCAATAATTCATCAAATTCGGTATTATTCCAGCAATCATATTCTTGTATTCGTAACTCAAGTTCCTCCTTTGTTGAGGTACAATTTTTATTGTCCCCGTTTGTTGATGGTTTGTTTAGAACCTTTTTACTGTTTCATTGGCAATGCATGATGCTGTAGATTATGTGATCAGGTTCCTCTATGCATCAATAATTCATCAAATTCGGTATTATTCCAGGTTGCAGTTGGGTGAATGCCTCAAAACCATTGTACATACTGATTACCCAGAGCAGTGGCCTCGGCTTCTAGACTGGGTGAAACATAATCTACAAGGTCAGCAGGTTTATGGGGCTTTGTTCGTGTTACGCATTCTTGCTAGAAAATATGAGTATGTATATACTATCCTTTTCTATATTTAGCCGCCTGATCTTTTGTTGTCAGTTATTATCTTTGTATCACTGCAATCTCTGATTTTAATGTGACTTGCTTGCTGAAGTGATGGGAAGTATTTGATTAATTCAATTAGAATCTTTCCTTGGCTTTTTTGCTTGATTGCAGTACATGTAGATGACAGCTTTGTCGACTTAGGATTGCCGGTGTTTTAATTAAATAACAGATCAGTTTTCATTGTTTCTCTTAATTTGGTGCATATTATACTTGTTATTTCTGTTCGAATTTACATTTTAATACTAATTTCATCATTTTCTTTAACATTCTAGGTTCAAGTCAGAGGATGAGAGAACTCCAGTTCACCACATTGTCAAAGAGACATTTCCTCATCTTCTCAATATATTCAACAGACTTGTTCAGATAGACAAACCGGCTCTGGAAGTAGCAGATCTCATCAAACTTATTTGTAAAATTTTCTGGTCATCTATCTATGTAAGTTTTTAAGCTGCTAGTTTTTGACATATATCTGACTTACTTTTTTATTTTTTATAAAAAAATTCTTTTCTCTTTCTCTGTTACTTTCCTTTTTAGATGATCTTTTTGGCATATTTATGAAATGAATTTGCTATTTGAAATTATTCCTATTATCATTTGTAATCAAAATGATTTTCGAATCAGATTTGTGATCTTTTATAGTGCTATATTTTTGTTCTTTAATGATCAATGAAATAATTGGAAGTTGGCCAGATGCAAAATGCTATTCAATCTAATTACTAGCGGCCTAACAATTCTATAGAAGTCAAGGAGTGCATTTTCTTATTGGAGTTTTGAGCTTGAAGAAAAATCATGTACCAAATATATTGACCAAAATCACTTATACTACAGTGTTTTTATGTCAACTGGAACTAACTTCTTGTGACCTGTTTTTGTAAGATTTGTTCTATTCACATGCCGTCTTTGTCTCGTTGTCTCGACTCCGCAGTTGGAGATTCCAAAACTGTTACTTGACCCAAACGTGTTCGATGCTTGGATGATGCTTTTCTTAAATATTTTGGAGAGGCCAGTACCTCTGGAAGGCCAACCTCTAGATCCTGAGCTCAGGAAATCATGGGGGTGGTGGAAGGTTAAAAAATGGACGGTTCATATTTTAAATAGGCTATACACTCGGTAAGTTTTAAAGTTGCAACTTGTATTCAGTAAAGCCTTATCCCTTAAGTTGCTAAGCTCATTTGTGATTTTGGTGGCTTTTTATAGGTTTGGAGATTTAAAGCTCAGAAATCCTGAAAACAGAGTCTTTGCCCAAATATTTCAGAAGAATTACGCAGGAAAAATTTTGGAATGCAACATAAATTTATTGGGTGTTATTCGTGTTGGCGGCTATCTCCCTGACAGAGTTACCAACCTTATTCTTCAATACCTAAGCAGCAGGTTTGCCATTTGGTTCTGCATAACTGGTGCTTTTGATTTTCTTTACTCGGTGTAAGATGGGTGAGTTATGCTTTTGTCATAGCTGGGCATTCTTTTAAGATAACTGGACCATCCATTTGTGAGGCTAAAGGTTGCCCTGCATTTGTCTTGAACAATAGGACTATTTTAATTTTTTTTTACTGTGTTGACTGAAATAATAGGGCTCATTTTTCTATATGTTGTATAACTTTTTCCCTTTATGTCATCAAATAAAACCCATCCTACCTAATTATACTTTTCTGCCTTGTGCTTTGTTGCTTTACTATTTTTTATTTTTGGCCTTCCTATTTGTGTTAAGTTTATTGATGACGTTGCATCCTGTCTGACTTGGTAAATATATTTGAATTTGGAGATGTTAAAAATGGATTTTGACAAAGAAACATTTAATATATGCAGCATCTCGAAAAATAGCATGTATACTTTGTTACAGCCACAGCTTGATGTTATTCT